GGCATGTCGGTAGTTGGTTATTCTGTTAAACGTTGTCTCGACTTGATGAGCTTTGATTGCAGTGACGTTAAGGCACGTTGTAAGCTCTGTAATTCCCTCATTAGTGCTTGTAATCTCTTGTTCAAAACTCTCTCAAATACTAGCAAAACTGTGCTCGAGACTTTGGATATATCTCGCGTTGCTTTGGATGTCTTGGGTGTTAAACCTATGCATCTGGGACTGCGCAACCCTTAAGTCAGAGGCGGCGTGCTCCAGCTGTGCTTGCATCTTAGCCATCTCGTCGTTCTGAGTTTGGAGCAGAGCCTTGCGTTCCTGTTCGAGCTCGAACTGCTTGGTCCAGTAGAGATTTCCTTCTTCATTAGTGATATCTTGGTCGCACTCGTTGTCCGCGCTATTCCGACGAGTCTGGGATTTATCTCTCCCTTCAGGTGCGCTGTGATTCCTTGAGGTGCGTGCCCTGCGGGGGTTGTCGTTAGTGCCAACCATTCACGCGATCCCTCCTAAAGCAGCTTGGTGTTCCTGCGCGATCCCTCCTAAAATAGCTGGTCCTATGTCTGTTGTTCTGTTGGCTCGTTCTGGAGTTGTATCCACCGTTCGCAGCGACAGTGGCGGTGGCAGGTCACTTTTAGTTCTCCGTGCAGTGCGCATCATCAAGAAGCTGAGGCCGTGCGGCTTGAACCGCCCAAGTGATAGTCGCGCTCTGCCTTTTTTGTGCGCTTTACTTGCTGTTGTGAAAACCTTTAGCTTGTCCTCCTGCTCCGCTGACTTCTTGAGAAGCATCTTCAACACGTTCTTCAATTCTTCCACGGCTGCCGGATTCGTCGCGGTGACGTTGATAGCGTCGTCGCCTGCCTAGCTGCTCCTGGTGTCCGTGTCGTCTGGCTGCGATGCCGAAGAGTCCTCGCTGCTGCTGCCACTACTGGTCATGTTGTCTGGCGGATATGCCGAAGAGTCCTCGTTGTTGTTGCCGCTGCTGCTTCCGCTGTTGTTGGCGCCGCTGATCCGCCCGCCACGGTGTTCTTCTCTCCAATCTTGTCCGCTGCGGTGTCTTTTGCTGTAGATCCGTGCGCGACGATTTCCTTCTGGTTGCTATCGTTGTTGTCTCCGTCGATGGTCATCTCTTCTGATCTCGGCGCGGTGGTGCTTTTTGAGTAAGAAACTTTACTGTCCCCTTAGATGGCTCCAAATTGTGGCAGTCGAATCTCATAATTACGATCTAAGTAAATATTCAGGTTTTGTAAAGTTCTGCGAGAAGCAACCAAACGCGAAGATCTCAAGAGAGTTTATTAAGCTGTTAGAAAACTGTTTTAGAATACAAGAGTTTGTCAAATGAATGATCGATCCCCTTTTTAGGTGATAATGAGGGACTATATATAATACTAAGTAAAATAGGACAGCTAATAAATGGACCTGTCCCATTAAGCAATAGATTTGGGCCTAGATTCATGTTGGGCCTTTGTAGACTTGCTTTGATTTTGTCAAGACGTTGTGGAGTTGATCTTATTGCAATATCGATATCATAGGGGTGCCCCTACAGTAATGAAATGGAGTATCAAAACAAACACCAGAACGAATTCTCCTTGAATGGATTTCACCACACAGTTTACAAAACAGAACAAGTTTGCTCTTAAATACCATGAGCATCATTACTTTCATAGTTGATCATTTCTTAGGAAGAAAAAAAAAAAAAACTAGCAGGAGTTTTTAAGCTTATGGCTATAATGGCCTCTGGAGGAAAAGATACTCTAACAAAAAACACTTAGAGCATAAATATCCATGAATTGTTGGTGGGTTCTTGAGCTAAAAAAATATTAAAAAATGAGAAAAGGGCTCAAAATTGAATGGAACGACTCAGCCCACTGAGCTGGATGAGACGGTTCATCGTGGACAGGTGTCGTTCATTTAGTTGTTGTGTTTAGGGTACGCGAAAGAAAAAAAATGGAAAAAAAAATCAAACGCAGATCTCTTTCTCTCTCTCGTGCGACGGCGAAGGCGAAAAGTCGAGATCTCTTCTCCGAT